GGTTGGCACAATGGACTTAAGAGAGTAAGGATGGTTTCCTGGTAGAGGTACAACACTGTTCCCTGTCTGCCAGTTCCTTATATCAGGAATTGATTTGCATACTGCTAATTACTTTGTAGCTGGGTGTGTATAGGCTTGCTTGTTTATTGTTTCTTGTTCTCGCCACGCATGGAGAGAAAAACTAAAAGCCACTGTCAAATCAACAAAGGTGGAAAAGATGCAAAGGACACAAACAAGAAATTACACAGGTGAGGTCACAACAACTGATCTATAAAGGAAAAGAACAGAATATTTTCAATCAGTTTCTATGCATCTGAGAGCTGGGCAGAATCACAAAAGGAGAATTGAAGCCTTTGAACTGTGGAGTTGGAGAAGAGTGCTGAATACACTGCCAAAAGAACAAAAGATAAATACAACTTGGAGGAAGTGCAGTCAGAGTGCTCCTTGGAGGCAAGGATGAAAAAGCTTCCTTTTACATTCTTTGGGCATGTTGCTAGGAGAGCTATTCCTTGGAGAAGGACATAAGGCTTGGGAAAGTGGAGGGTCAGTGAAAGAAAGAAAAACCCTGATCCAGATAGATTGACACAGAAACTGATGCAATAGGCTCAAGAATGTCAGAAATTGTGAGGATGGCACAGGATGGGACAGGGTTCAGGTCGATTGTTCACAAGGTCATTATGGGTCATACTCAACACAACAGCACCTAACAACAACAGAATATTATGGAGAACAATTTTTATAATCTAGAGAAAATAGACAAATAGCCACTCACAGTTCGAATCCAGCAGCTGCTCCACAGGAGAAGGATGGGCAGTCTCCTCCTATGCAATTTACTGCTTCTGAAAACTCGCTGGAAGGTCAGCCACGGGTCACGTCTGACCTGACAGCATACAACAACAACAATATGTATCCATAAGTTAGTTAGTTGTATTGTTTAGTTCTTCAGCTTCTTTTTTTGGTTTCTTTTAGTTGTTCTGCCTTCATCAAAAGTAGTATACTGACATCTCCAACTATTATTCCGTAATTGTCATCTTCAATTCCATTAAACCTTGATTGAGACATTTGGGGTTCCCCGTTATACTATGCTGTAATTATTCTCTTGTTCAGTGGATTCTTTACAGTATATAATGTCCTTTATTGTTTCTTATGCTGATTTTTGCTTTGAAGTCTATTTGATCAGAAATTAATATGGTCGCCTCATTCTGTTTTTATTTCTATTTGCTTTATGTTTATCCCCCCTACTTTTTTTATTTTTAGTCTATTTTTGTCCTTGTGTCTAAGGTGTGTCTCTTGTAGACAGCATATTAATGTATCATGTTTTCTTATCCATTCTGATACTATTTTCTTGTGACTATGAATCAATTCACATTCAGTTTAATTATAGGTGGGTATGATTTATTGATATCATTTTTCTGTGTTCTGTGTGTGTGTGTGTTGAAGGATTAATGATATTGCTGAATTCTTTGTTCCATATATGTTTTTATGCTGAGTTCATATTCTTGGTTGCTTTTTTTACCATTTCCTTAATTGCTGCTTTTCTGTCTTCTCTCGGTCTTCATGGGGAGCTCTGATGGCGTAGTCTGTAGGGGGTTCCACTGCTATGCCTCTTTGTTCTTTTGAATCCACCAGTAACTCCAAGGGAGAAAGATAGGCAGTCTCCTCCATATGATCTACAACCTCAGAACCCAATGATGTGGCAGCTATGAGTTGGTTTGACTCCAGTCATGAAAGAAAAGTCTATATAATTTTGCTCTTTTTAATTTTGATGAAAAGTTTATTCATTTTCTTTGCAGCTACCCTGTAAACTATAATTTTATTCCCACATCTAATAAAAATGTTATTAATTTTATTCCCAAGTCTATTATAGAATCAACTTGACATCCTCTCCATTTGGAAGTTCTGTAACTATATTATCTATTTCCTCCTGCTCACAGTCTCCTAGGCTTAGGGGCAAGGAGTTGAACTGTCAACCCAAAGGGACTCAGTTAGAATCCACCAGCTGCTCCGTGGGAGAAAGTTGGGCAATCTCTTACTGTGTGGTTTACTGCCTCTGAAAAACTCATAGGAGGGTTAGCTGTGGGTCAGTGTCCAAAACAAAACAACATTCCACAATTTAATATCTCATCGTCTGTCTGAACTGGGCTCCCTAGGTGACCACCAGGCCATAAGGTGAACTGACACTTCATTTTAACTATAAGACTCGAGTTTTACAACTCTTTTTTTTTCTATAATTATATTTTATTAATTTTCATAAACATTTACAGAGATTTTGGGTTTCCATTCATTCATTGTTGCACTATTCTCTCTACCCTCCTCCCAGTTTGTTCTTGTCCAAATGCCACAGTGCTTGTCAAAGCCAGTTCTGATTAATCTTCTTTGTCAGTGTGTCCTTTGCCATTCCCTATCACTCCTCCCTGAGAGAGACTTCACCCTGAGTCATAAGGAAAAGGGGATGGCGTATTCTCTTAGCTACTTCCTGCTGAAAAGGGACGCTGTGGGTTTCAGGGTGAAGATCTTCTCTCACTACTCTAAAGGGCCCCTTTGGCAGTAGGAAACACACAGACTATTATGGAGATTGGTTTTGGAATTTAGATGCACTGAGTTTTACAACTCTTGACCATCCTCACTAACATTTAGTGGCTTTCATCTAAGGTAGATACTAGAATAAGTACTTTATACTTCTCATAACCCTTAATCCTCACAATCACCACTTTTAGAAGGCTCAGAGGCATTAAGGAACTGGCCCAATGACACACAGCCAGGATGTAGAGCAGGAGCCTGAACGCTGAGTTCTTGATGGCTATGCTGCATGCCAGAGTGTGAAGTCTACTCTGCGCTGAAGCTGTTCCTCAGTGACACAGTGAGGAAAGGGAGCACCCACAAACCCAAGCTTTGGAAAAAATAGACTTGTGTTCTTTGGAGACACAGGTTAGGGTGATAGAATTGTTTTAAAGACTCACTCTGCTACTTGTTGGCTCATTCTAAGCCTCAGTGACCTTAATCTATAAAGAACAATAGAATGAGGACTATCCCAGATAATCTATATACCCATGGGAGAGGGGACTTACCATTGAATACCAACAGCATTTTCAGGTTTTACTCCCTTTGCCTTGCAGTAGCGCAGGCCTGGCATCTGCCCCCATGGAGGATTTTTGGGGTTACCTACCTGAAGAGCCAGTCATCCTGGAACAGAAAGCCACAACCACCTAAGGTGGCCAGGGGTACTAGATGGGAAAGAGTGTCTAGGGATGGGGCTGCAGCTCCAGGTTGGAACCCATTCTGGACCTGCATTATCACACCCCTCAGCATCCACCCTATGCAGGCCAGCTCAGGAATGAGGAACATGGCTACCTCACAGTTTCCTGGGGTGAGGGAGGAGGCCTCCTCTTTCCAGAGGAGTAGACTCTGTGCCATTATGAGGCTTTCACTGAAGAAGGCCAGCTGGACATGTGTACAGGATGCAGCTGAGCAGGAGGCAGCAGGACTTTCAGAAAAGTCGGTTTTTAGGGCCATGGATGAGAAGATACAGGCTCTGTGTGTGCCCCAGTGTCTCAATGAGCTGGAAGAAGGGGCTCCAGAAGTGGGGCAACCAAGTCCTCTTTCATTCTCTGACTTCTAGGCAACCTCTCAACACATACTCTTTTTTTTTTCCGTTTTGTTTCTTTTTAAGGGTTGGTTTATTTGTTTTCATTTTTAAGTTCTTTTTTAAAATTTTTTTTCTATAATTATATTTTATTAATTTTCATAAACATTTACAGAGATTTTGGGCTTCCACTCATTCATTGTTGCACTATTCTCTCTACCCTCCTCCCAGTTTGTTCTTGTCCAAATGCCACAGTGCTTGTCAAAGCCAGTTCTGATTAATCTTCTTTGTCAGTGTGTCCTTTGCCATTCCCTATCACTCCTCCCTGAGAGAGACTTCACCCTGAGTCATAAGGAAAAGGGGATGGCATATTCTCTTAGCTACTTCCTGCTGAAAAGGGACGCTGTGGGTTTCAGGGTGAAGATCTTCTCTCACTACTCTAAAGGGCCCCTTTGGCAGTAGGAAACACATAGACTATTATGGAGATTGATTTTGGAATTTAGATGCACTCTTATTGATTGTGCTTGGCTGTACATGTTCATATCCTTGAAGATGTATCATGGGGGTGTTGCAACCTAGAAGACACAAATTTGACTAACAAGTTATAAGTACATGAGTCCAAAAATTATGGAAAAGTAAAAGAAAAGATTCTTTCATTGTTTTACAAACCCTCCCCCAGGTCCCCTCCACCATGTAGCCCTCGCTCTAGTCTCCTGTGATGACAGAAATACCCAGTTATATCTCTCTTTTAAACGTCAACACATACTCTTAATTTCCATCAAAATGACAAGGGGTATACATGTCCTTTCAGCCTCTCTAAATGACTCAAGACTCGACTCTAATGAAACCAAGGTAGAATTTCTCCCTAGCACAAATCAAGCCAACCTGTTTTCCATGGAAAGATTGTAGCTCAACCTGAAAATCCAGCCTTCGGTCATTTGCTTTGTCCCGAGGCTGGACTAAGTGCCAAGCAAGCACATGCTGAGTGAGGCATTTCAGTTATCAAATCCCTAGTCAGAGTACAGCTGAAACCATCCTCCAGTCTAGGCTGTGCTGATCCTGTCCCACCCCGTGCCCAGCCCAGAGACCCAGAAACTAGCCAAGGGACACACCCTGCCCCGCCCCCCAATCTCCTGCAGGCCTTGGGTCTCCAGCCAGAGCACTGCTGGATCCTTGTAGTCACATCTCAGCCACAAGCCCACCTCCTGAGGGCTCTGCTCAGCTTTCTTTTCTCCATTGAGTCTGTGCTATGAATTGAAATGTGGGGTGTTAAGTTCAGGAGTGAATATTCGGTGAACATTAGAATTGATGTACTGCTGTAATATTAAAGTTGCCTGTCACAGTCCCTCACTGGGGACAGAGAGTTGAGAGGGAGTGAGTTCTGACACCTTTCTCTTTGGGTATTTTTGGCTTGCAGTGCCTGCTTCTACCTACAGCCCATCTCCAGGGGCAAATTATAGTCCAGCTCCCTACACGCCCTCACCTGCTCCTACCTATACCCCTTCAACAATCCCAGCCTACACCCCTTCACCTGCCTCGGGCTATAACCCTGCACCCTCAGCCACTCACGGTGGAGGACCTGCAGAGCCTACCAGCCGCCCACCCTGGGTGACAGATGACAGTTTCTCTCAGAAGATTGCCCCTGGGATGAGTACCACATCAGTCAGCAAGCAGTCCCTGCCACGGGGCGCCCCGGCCTTCGCTCCGACTGGTCCCCAGGTGTCCCCCCTTGCCAGGGGCATCGTCCAGAGAGCCGAGCGCTTCCCAGCCAGCAGCCGGACTCCACTCTGCGGACACTGCAACAGCGTCATCCGGTATGGTCCAGCTGTGCCCTGTGCTGGGGCACTGGAAGAGCGGGTTTGGGTGCCCGCCCACAGTCTGAGCCCTGCAGTATGGGGTGGGGGGAACAGGTGCTGAGAGAAGACCTGCTTCAGGACAGACAGGTCTTTAGACTCAGCACCTGGTCTGACTCTCCCTGTGTAACCCAGGGAGTTGGGCAGATCCCGTGAGGTAAGTGGGTGAAGCTCCCAGACATGACTGGTGCCAGGGGCTCCCCCCGGGACTAAGGGCTGGCTCTGGGGATTGCTGGTCTTAGCAGTTGGTTTATTGGGCACCCTGCAACCTGGCTGGCAGCACTAGTTCTGACCAGCTTTCCTTTAGTTTTTTGCTTTTGGGACTTTCCATAGACAGATCAATCTTGATAATACACTTTGAAACCAGGATAATGAGTAGTGTTCATCTGAATACAGTATGTTTTTGTAAGTAGATACAGTATACTTATGTATGTGTATTAACTACTTTTATATATGAAAAATACACTTTTCAACTAAACTAAAATGTGCTATTAATACTCATTAAGGAGTATTAGAAAATGTGGAAATTAGAATATGAAAAATGTTCCTTGAATCCTAGCGTTCTGGCTACATCAAATCTGGAACTAGACAGCCCAAGTTTGGGTCCTGGGCCTCCTGGTGACCTTGAACAGATTACTTGACTGCCCTCTTTGTGCCTCAGTTTCTTTATTTGAAACTGATTGTGATAGGATAATAGTACCTGCTTCACAGGCTTGCCACAAGAATTGAAGAGGTTAACATGCACTGTATTAGCATCTGGCACAGGGTAGCACTTAACAAATGTTAGCTCTCAGCAGCAGCTTCATTGTTCTCATTGTAATTACCAGTGCCAGCTGGATGGATGGTCTCTAACACCAGCCCCTACTCGTGGACGTTTGCATTGCTTCCAGTTTTCTCTATTGTAAGTGAGCCAGGAACATCTCTCCATATGAAGCTTTATCATAAATTTTATCTAAATTTCACATTATTTCATTAGAATAATCATGTCAGTCAGAATTACTATATCCGAGTCTGAGCCTTGTTAAGATTCTTGAGGCATCTGGTCCCAAGCTGTTGGGGCTGCCTTAGTAGGTGCTGTTCTCTGCTTCCCCAGGGGCCCCTTTCTGGTAGCCATGGGCCGCTCCTGGCACCCAGAAGAGTTCACCTGTGCCTACTGCAAGACCTCCCTGGCAGACGTGTGCTTTGTGGAGGAACAGAACAACGTCTACTGCGAACGCTGTTATGAGCAGTTCTTTGCCCCATTGTGTGCCAAGTGCAACTCCAAAATCATGGGGGTATGTGGCCAGCATCCCTCTCTCCTCAGACCCTTTGCTTTTCCTGAGTTCCTCCACTCCTCCACAGATTATGGGGTCCAATTAGGGGAGCCTAGAAGTCATTGCTAATGAAATTCCATTTCTGGCCTAAAACAGAATTGGTTTCCCAGCAAAAGATTAGGGAACAAGTGAACCTGAAGTGAGAGGTGATTGTACTGGCCTGGAACCTGAAGAGGCGATGGAGTATACGTGAAGCTAGTTATGCATAGCCTGACCTCACCGCTCACCTGCATGTGGTCATGATGCTCATATGCCCCCTTGGTAAAATGGGAATAACAAGCAGTACTTCCCTTCCAATTTGACCCAAAAAGCCTGGCATCACCAGATGCATGGAAGCCTCTTCCCCACTTGCCCCAGGCCTTCCTCCCTGTGCACAAGGCCTACTCCTTGGCTTTCCCAGCCTGTCTCTTAGTGGGATACTCAAGCAGTGGTCAAGGCACAAAAGAACCACCAGGCTTCCCTCTCCCTCTTTCAGGACCTTTCTGTTCTGAGCTGAAGGAAGCTCTTTCTCTACAGGAAGTGATGCATGCCCTAAGACAGACCTGGCACACCACCTGCTTCATTTGTGCAGCTTGCAAGAAGCCCTTTGGGAATAGCCTGTTCCACATGGAGGACGGAGAGCCCTACTGTGAGAAAGGTAGGACCACTGCAGTGGGGGCCAGCAGTCAGAGTCTTGGAGGCAGGCATGAGGACCCTGCCTTTCTCCATTCACATTTGGGCATTTATGGGATTTATCTATTTATGGGAGATGGACATTTTTTTAAATTGCAAAATCATGATAACATTACATAAAGGAAATTAATCTGATGATTCCTCTTTCCATTTGGCTTCAACTTTCACATGGCAAAATCCGTAACTTATTTTTACACCATTCTCTGCACCAAAGAGGTTGATCAGAATTTGTCATCTTATAGCTGTTTGGGAGAACCATTCAGATTCTTCCCATTTAAAGACCACGAGATCTAGTGAGCAAAAACTTCAACTCTACTTCATCCTGAATTCTTCCTGGCTCTATTCCAGACTAACTTTGTAACCCTGAGTAATTGCTCTGAGATTTATTTTACACATCTTTAAAAAGGAGAAAATAATACCTGCCTCAGAAAGTTGTGATGACAATTATGCCAGAGAAGGCGTGTAAAGCAACAGTGAATAAATGACACTTCCTCGCCCACTTGATAATGTTAACCAAGCTGTTACAGTGCTGAGAGCTGATGCAGATGACACGGGCTTGCTTGCTAAAAGTGAAGAGGACTTAAAATACTTTCTGCAGGAGATCAGAGACTGCAGACTTCAATATGGATTACATCTCAACATTAAAAAAACCAAAATCCTCGTCAATGAACCGATGGACAACATCATCATAGATGGAGAAAAGATTGGAACTGTCAGAATGGCTTAGTCTTAATAGGATCCATACTCAATAGAGTTGGTACCAGCAATCAGGAGATCAGGAAACATATTGCAGTCAGGGACCTTTCCAAAATATTGAGGATCAGTGATGTCAGTTTGAGTACTTGGGTGCACCTGCTTCAGACCATGGTCTTTTCCATCTGAGAACTGGGCAATGAATAAGGATGACAGAATAATTGACACCTTGAACTGTGGTGTTGGAGAAGAGTGCTTAACATCCCATGAACTGCTAAAAGAACTAACATATATATCTTGGAGAGGGTGCAGCCAGAGTGCTGCTCAGAAGAAAAGATGATAATGCTTCATCTCACCTACTTTGAGCATGTTGCTAGGAAAGGCTATTCCTTGAAGAGAGACACCATGCTTGGCAAGGTTGAGAGACAAAGGATAGGAAGACCTTCAGTCAAATGATCTTTTACAGTGACTGCAATAGTGGCCTTGAGTCTGTCAGAGATTGTGATGATGGCACAGGATAGGACAAGGTTCAGAGATCTGTTCTTTTTAGGGGTCACTATGAGTCGTATTTGACTCAATGACACCTACCAACGACAAAAACTAAGCTTCAGCCCTTAGTACAAACTTACTCTATAACCTGAAATGCTCTGTTACCTTAAACTTTGCCGCTAAATTCTTCTAAATTGAGAAAACAAAGCCCTCCATTAGAGAGTTGGGAGTTCCAGGTAACTAGCCATTCACTCAGTCACTCACTCATTTATTCATAGCCTATTCTTCTGAAAGGAAATTGAGACAGGTTTCAGCAACAGAAGTGTAGACACCAGGTTAGGACAATACAACTAAAGAACCAGCACCAAGTAGAGAAGGGAAAAGCAAACATATTGATCATGAAAAATCACACACCAAAAGCAACCTGCTAACAACTGTGACTCCAAGTTCCCTGGCAGCCATGGCAAAAAGAGAAATACGAGAAGCCAGTTAAAAAGCGAAGACACTCAAGTTGTATTGCCGATCCAAAGACAGGCCAATCCAAAGTTTGAATCCACCAGCTGCTCTGAAGGAGAAAGATAAGCAATCTCCTGCTGTGATTTACTACCTCTAAAAACCTGCTTTGGGGTCAGCCATAAGTTGGTTCCAACTCAGTGGAACATAACAACAACATGTGTGTGTGTGTGTGTGTGTGAGAGAGAGAGAGAGAGAGAGAGAGAGAGAGAGAGAGAAGGATGTAACCTAAACACAAAGCTTTCACAATTTTAAATCATGTAATATTCCCTTGCTCTGTTCAGACAACTTCTTCTTGGTCTATGTATATGTTTTTCATGAGCACAGATAGTTGTTCTGGCATCCCCATTCTTCTCAATGTCAGTCATAATTTGTTAGGATCCACATTGTCAAATGCCTTTGCATAGTCAATAAACACAAATATTTATCTTTCCAGTATTCCTTTCTCTCAGCCAACATCACCTCACATTAGTTCAGAAGAGGCCATGATATCATTGCTTGAATTTCTGGCAGTTCTCTGTTAATGTCCCAGCTATTTTTAAAAAATCTTAACAATTTTAGTTGCATGTGATATTAAGGATTTTTTCAGTAATTTTCACATTCTGTTCAATTACATTTTTGTAATAGGAACAAATATGAATCTCCTGCAGTCAGTTGGCCAGGTGACTATCTTTCATATTTGTTGGCAAAAATTGGTGAGCACATCTAGAGTTACAACTGTTTTCTGAATTCTAATTGGTATACCATCAATTCTTGGAGCCCCGTTTTTTGCCAGTGCCATTAGTGTAACTTGAACTTTTAATACTTTCTAAAATTGTTCAGTGTCAGCCAACTCTTTTTGGTACAGTGACTCTATAATCCTTCCATCTTCTCTTGATGCTTCCTCCACTACTCCAATTTTGCCCATAAACTCATTCAGTAGTGCAACTCAAGGCTTGAATTTGTTCTTCTGTTCTTTGAGCTTGAGAAAGGCAGAGCATATCCTTTCCTTTTGACTTTCTAGCTCCAGCTCTTTGCACATTTGCATATAATACTTTGCTTTGCCTTCTCAAGCTGCTTTTGGAAATCTCCTGTTCATCTCTTTGACTTCAGTATTTCTTCTCTTTGTGTTGGCCTCCCTACATTCTAGGGCAATAACTCAGGTCTTTATCATAGATAAAGAAGCTAGAATCTCAAAATTGGAAAGTTGGGTTTACATCCTCCAAAAACCTGCTCGAGGGTCAACAATGGCTCTGTTTGGAGTTGTTGGTGAGAACAACATGGCTTCTTGTTGTTGTTATGTGCTATGTTGTTGTTAGGTGCCGTCAAGTCATAAACGACTCCTAGCGACCCTATGAACAAAAGACCTGAGCACTGTTCATAGAGTTTCCTGAGGCAAGCCATTTTGGAAGTGGACTCCACTTCTGCTTCCAAGCTTGTTTTAATCAGGGAGCTCCACCAAATACTGTCCACCATGGGTAACAATTATCGCATTTGGCACACCAGTGTCACAGTGTTTAGCATCACGGCAACCATGAGTTCCTCTGTATGGCAATGCACAGACCAGTGCTATACTACTTAGACAAATGTTAGAAGGGCAATATATGGAATTCACTGTACTATCTCATATATGATGACTTTCTCCAGGACTGACCCCTCCTGAAAACATAAGCATATGAGACAAAGTCTCAACTTTCTTTCTTCTAAAGAGAAATCTGCCTACATTTCTTCCAAAACAGATTGGTTTGTTCTTTTGGAAGTCCATAATATATTAAATTCAAACATTGACTCTTCCTCTGTCTTCCTTATTCATTATTCAACTTTCAAAATCACATGAAAAAAACAAACAACTCCTCTCTCAATATTCACATGCAGCAATTGAAAATACCATGGCTTGGGCCAAGGACCCTTAGTCCTCAAAGTGACATCCTTGCTCTTTAGCATGTTACAGAGTGCCTCTGCAGTAAATTTACCCAATACACTACATTGTCTGTTTTCCTAACTGCTGTTTCCATGGGTGTTGATTGTAAAATGAAAGTAAAATTAAATCCTTGAAACTTCAGTCTTTTCTCTATTTTTTATAATGTTGCTTATTGGCCCAATAATAAAGATTTTTAAAAACTTTTATGTTGAGGTGTTGGGAACTTTGGTGGTGTAGTCCATAAAAAGTTGTGCTGCTAACCCAAATCCTATACCTCTCAGCTGTTTCAAATCCACCAGCAGCTCTGTAGGAGAGAGAAGGTAAGCATCCTACCAAGTAACTTAAAGCCTCAAAAATCCACTGTGGTGGAAAGTCAGCTATAAGTTGATTCTGACTCCATAGCCATCAGGAAAGGGGGATGTATCTTGAGGTATAATTCACACTGAAATTTTGTATCTTTTAGCTTCGTCAGTAAACATTCCTTAGTTTTCTGCTAGAAAAGGTTATGTCATCATCTGCATGTTGCAGGTTGTTAATGAGTTTCTTCCAGTCCTGATATCATATTCTGCTTCCTTTAGTCCATTCTTGGTATCACATTCCTCTTCATACAGTCTACTTCTAGGATTCTTTCCTCAGCATACAGATTGAATAGGTATGAAAAAAAGATACAAGCTGATACACACTTTTCTGATTTTAAATCATGCAGTGTTTGCTTGTTCTGTTCAGACAACTGCTTTATGGGCCATGTACAGGTTCTGCCTGAGCATAATTAAGTGTTCTGTAATTCTTATTCTTATCCACAATTTATTGTAATTCACACAGTAGAAAACCTTTGCAAAATCAATATAACACAGGTAGACATCAGACATCATTCTGGTATTCTCTGCTCTCAGTCAAAATCTATCTGACATCAACAGTCTCTTGTTCCACAGCTTCTTCTCATTCCAGTTTGAATTTCTGACATTTCTCTACTAATGTACTACTTCACTAATTTTTAAATTATCTATAGCAATATTTCACTTGTGTGTGATATTATGATATTGTTTGTAATTTCTTCTGATTCTTTTGAATCAGCAATTTTTGGAATTAACACACATATGGATCCCTTCCAATTGATTACCCAAGTTAACTATCTTCCAAATTTCTTGACATAGATGAATGAGTATGTCCAGTGCTGCATCTGTTTGTTGAGACATTTTAACTGACATTCTATCAATTCCTGGGTCCTTATTTTGCACAAATGTCTTCAATCCAGTGGACTTCTTGCTTTTGTATCTTTAGTACCTGATGATATGCTTTTTCCTAAATGATTGAGCGCTGGCCAGTTCTTTTTGGTAAAGTGACTCTGATGTAATCCTTCCATTTTCTTT